AAGGAAGGCGAAATGGTACTGCTTGCACAACCGACTGGCCGAAGTCCTCGAGGACGGCCAAGAATATCCTGGGGCACGTGTGTCGAATGACTCTGCTACATAATTGATAATATTCTGCCGAGGCTCAAGCCCGGACACAGGATCAAGAACGTTACACGTTCTGCCTCCGCGAAACGAAAGAATAAGCAATCATCGAAACTGACTGGCTGACTGACCGGCAGCTCTCAATTTTCACAAAGCAGGACAATGCATACCTCTAGGAGGCAAGCGTCATGAATCATGCCAATAGAGTTCTGCAATCCCTTGGCAAGACTGCTGCGTCCTTGGGTTTCAACGGAAGGAAGGTAAGGGATCAAAAACAATAGCCAGATTGGAAAGACGGGTAAAATATATCTATTAGAAGCAGAATCTGACTACCGACGTTCCGGAAGGATAAAATGAAACCTCTTTCACGAACTCAGTGGATGTCCTCCATGTTAAAACGTGCCTTCACTCTGTCATGCCTTAGAAAATGATATTTGACCATGATAGGAACGTATGCCTATAGATTGAGAGGTTTCATTAGCCATAAATTCTAATACCGCATATGATAGTAACTAAACATCTAGACATATTATTATAATATATTCTGATGACGAACTTGAAAACTAGATAAAAACACGGTTTATTCACACACAACGCAAACAAACTGGTCAGTCGGTTGACTAACTGTGCCTCTACAATGCAAACAAACCGTGTTTTATACAGTTTTTAGTACGACTGCCGATACACAAACGATATACTCAGTTTTCTAGTCAAGAACTTCATGTTTCTTTCAACTCCAGACCTGTATTTCTATCTATTAATTCGATTCATAAAGTATGCTTTAATCCATGAACAGAAACCAGGACGAAAAATTATTTTAACATAGCTTACTAGAAATTAACCATACATTCACTTCTGCCTTTTCTTCATTTGCAATAATGTATAAGGAATAAAACCGACCTTCATCACAATGCAGAAGCAGTACTTTAATTGACTCCATTGTACCTCGTATTCTTCGATGCTATCATGAAGAAGCACACTTGGTATTGTCTGTTTGATGCAGCTAAGAACTCAAGCATCAGTAATATCGGTATGAAGCCAACTGATCCTCATAACAATTCTAATAAAATTGCAGGTCGCGAATAACAGGTAATGACGAAAGTATGGGATCGCGTCTAAAGCGATCTACCTTACAGAGTCTACCTCTTTTCTATTCCAGCGGCCACGAGAATATGTAATGCACCTTGAAACGATCTTTCGCGAAAGTACTGAAGCCGAGCAGACCAAACATTTTATTGACATCGAGGCAAAATCATGTAAAAGGAGTACTCAGACAAGGAAGAATACCGAATGATAAAACCAACGAAGAGTCAATGCTACCTCCATTGCGTCTATCCTCGTTAAATGAGAAAAATGACTAAAATTTTGGTTCCGGATCTCTTACAACTGTGGTTCAGTAAATAGCGCTATTAGGGTTTCCAAGAACCTCTCTCTATTAGTCCAAACATCTCGACGTTCAACACAAAACAAGAATATTCATGGCCCAATGCTAAAGGCACATTTTTCCTCGAACCTCCTCTGAAGGCACAGAGTATCACTTGCCGAGACAGAATGGAAATGACAAACTTATACGTTCTTTGCAGCTATCAGCGATCGTTCATTATTCATTACATAATTCGCCGCGCCAGTGAGTACCTTCTGGTTTCAGCTTTCGAGTTTAGCCGGACACTGAATGCTGCAGGATCGATCATAGGCCTCTGTTCGACAATCCGGTGACAGTTGCACTGGTCAAGCGGCTTCCGAACGGCCAACTCAGATACGGTGTCCGGCAGCTGAAGTGTACGCAATACCCGGGCGAATGAGTATCTGTTGAACGCCCTGGCCTGTTCGTTCGTCTTGACGTTCTTGGTTCCTCCAACTTGGTCGCCACCAGTCGCTTCTTTGCTGGCTTCGTCTATGTAGTAGCGTCGCTAGTTTCAACGCGAGAAAAACTTGCCACTAATTTCTTCTGAATGTGACACCAGTCAAAGTTCATCATGGTCGCCTCCTGGCGTTTCGCTTTCGCCATGCTAATGCTCAACGACTGCAGACTACACTACGAGTCAGATTACGGCGCCGTTGCTGCGCCGAGGCGTGACGAGGTGCGGCGATTCGACCGCATCAGCTGTTTCGTAGCGTGACTCAAGCGTTGAGGGTTGGAAACTGCGCCGTTTGCCATTCAGATAAAAACTGTTCAGTACATTCAGTTTGTTATTTTTGAAACTGCCAACTCTGCCTAAACTGAAGTTGGCGATCCTCGGTAACGACAACGCTCCATTAGTAGCCCAGGTTGTCATTCAGCCTGAGAACGGATACTTCTCCTGTCACTTAATTTGCCAAGTAGTCATCCCAAAAGCCCTTTGAAAGCAGCTTTTTCCAGGGGCCTTTTGAAAATACGTAGTATTTGTTGAATTCTTGAATATCATTACAACTGGCCCTCTATGAATGAATGGGACTACGCCAGTTTTCAACAGGCGGTCGCGGTCGTTGCCCTCGATTGACGACGTGAGGCAACCAATGAAGTTTGAAACTTCCATACTTCCGTTAGTTAAAATAGTTGGTATCGATTCAAAGTAATCACGATTCATGATAGATTTCACATGCAGGTGATATTGTCTTCCGTCCGTCATTTCAGAGACCAAAAGTGCAGCAATAGAAATCGGCACACTACTACGTAAGGCCAATAACAACGTTCATTTGGAATGGTTTTCCCCTGGCTTACTATGAACATCCATATTATTGCCTATCGTTCACTGTAACTGCCCTTCTAAAGACAGTATAGGGCAACCAGTCATCGCTGATTTAACTCTTCCTGCAACAATTCCACTTACAGTCTTGTGGCAAGGAAACAGGAGATAACACTCGATTGTGATCATCTAGCTGTAATGATATAGTCCTGAAAATCAGAAAACAGTAAGGCGCCCTTTGCTAATGAAAAAGCAGCGACTATTGACGCCGGACCAGGAGCACCATTAAAGACCAGTTCCGCACTTGGCGTTCAATCATCAAAACGCCCGTAAGGATTAACATGTAAATGGTCACCAGCTGTCCTTTTTTCCGTGAAACAAGCAGCGTCTGACTGAACTTTCACATGCACGCAAAAATGGATCTGACCTGGCACTTAATGTCAAGTGCCAATTGTTCAGATGTCATGCCTACGAATCGGAACTCCATTACAACTACGACACTCGTTCGACTGCTTTTTGCTGTTGCAGTGCGTCACGACGAATTCTTGCTCTATACTATCTTTGAAGTGCGTAGCAGTAAGACACGACTTGTCAGTAAAGCTTACCCGTTTCAAACAAAACTTATCAACAGTTTTTGACATAAGCATAATCTTACCGTATTTATTAACCTCTTATTTATTTGAACAGCTTTTTTATGCTCAAGAAAGAGGTCTCGGTGTTAAAGGTTTCCCAGATATCAACGGAGCCATAGAGTTGTCTCGCGCTTTTTCTCAACGCAAATAGTTGCCTCGAAGTAAAACATAAAATGATTCATCGGAAACCAGACAGTCAAAATTACCAGCTTTCGACTTTCATAGTCGTGAAAAACTCAAGTTGAGACCATTTCTTATAATGCCCATACCTGAACATCGACTTAAGCGACGGTTCCAAGCAGTAATTCAAGCGAAAAGTTGGAGATTTTTTATTACATCTTGGCAAACCTCGTCTGCTGTCCATTTGATATTCAGTACTGACCTATTTTTCCAACAGTTATGCATATTGGTGTCATTTTCACTGGCCTTTTTCTATTCACTATTTGATGAAGGACCCTCCAAGACTTGACTATGAACTTATGCTTTCTGTAGTTCTTATCCATCTTGTTCCAATGAACATCATCAGTTTTTCCCGCAACCGATCTGGAGGTGTTCCTAGAGGTAATACCTCTATTTTCCATTGATGGTCGGCTATTCTTGCAACTCTCTTGCTCACTGTCGCTTCAACTAATCCACTGTTGCAGTAACGTGCCAAATTATTGTTTATGCTCTTACCCATTCCTCACCCATTTGTCTTCTAATATCTTCTTACTCCCAACGTGCACCCTGCCACGTTACATCGCGCAATCGGCAGTTTATGAATAGCTTTCAATCATAGGGTCCACGTTTCGCACCTATCGGCTAACACTCGGAGCTCACAGTGATCGAAAGGTTACTAAGAAAATTTTCAATCTTCTATAAAATTTCTGTACCATTATTAGTTTTCGGTTAATTTCGCAGAGGTACATCTCCAATGCAAAGATGAGCTGTTCCTGGTAGACGTAGTTTTGCTTCTCTTCAAGCATAAGGTCACTGATTTCAAATGGCTGCCGGGTCATATATGTGTTAAACGTGACCTGAATCTTTTCAGGTCCACCTTCAGTGCTGCCTTGATGCTGGCGACATTCAACTCTCCAGTTTTTCTTCAGAGTTCTCCTTGTGTATCATTATATCGTCTGCAAGCGGCAAATAGTTTAAGTCGGTAGTAAGTAGACAGGTGCCTGTTGGTGCACACGAAATCTATTATGTCACGGCTGAATATCAATGAAATTGGGCTCAACGCAATATCATAGTGCATCATTAAAAAACAATAACTTTAAAATTATTACGGTAAATGTAGGAAAATCGTATGGAAAGGTTCTATGATTGCCTTCAATGTCACTGATCCATCGCACAATCTTGTTAATGGAATGACACTTTTTATCAGTTGGTAAAATCTCATATCACGCCTTATGCATCTAGGAGAAGGGAACAGTGCCATAGCACATAAGTGAATCTCGGTTGGATTGTATCAGGTACATCCTTCATAGCCTAAGTTATTGTAGTCCATTGACAATCTAATGCTTATGACACTTAAATGAACTCCACTTTAAATCCAAATATTTTTTAGCCCGGCATAAATCTTAAAGACAGTTTGATTTAGGCCAGTAAAGATGCTGAATGCAACTTTGTACGAGTAATAAACGAGAATGCTAATAGAAGTAGAGTTCAAAGCCATGGTCTGTCCTCATGCGCTTATGGAACCCATTGTGTGACACAAATTGCAAGGAATCTGGCATTCTAATTCACATTCAGCGATCTTTGCAATATAAGGCATCCATCAATGACTCGACAAGGTAAAACTCAGTGTAGAAAGACGAAGCAGTGTATTTGGTCGTTTTTCTGCTGAACAGTGGTCATAAACGCACTTCTGCCTTTCATGACCAGACGACACATCATTCTGCAGACAGTGAAATATATAGAAAGTAGATCCTCTGTCAAAAATGAGCAGTTAATCTCTTGATCTGTTATTTTGTCATACCCTCGCTTGTTTCCAATCTTTATTTATCACACTCCTTTTCACACTTAGAGCAACTTTTTAATACTTCTTGCATGTTCTTTAGGAAGTGTATATTTCGGCTTCCCCGACGTAGATACCAAGTGTGCCTAGCTGTTGGCGATCTGACGCGTCAACGGATTGCGGAGAGGGGAACGACCTCCAGAAGGAATTGCTGATGGTCAGCTCTAGAAAACTGTGGCATGGCCGTACTAGAGCGTGAGAAGTATGATACTCACAGAATATGACACAGTGCCCAGTGACAGCCTCATATCGAGGCGAAAGCTATCCGCCCCTTTGTAGAAAAGACGCCAATCACATAGCTGCCTTGCGGTTTGACGTCGGTTCGTCAAAGGCTAGGATAAATAACAACGATAGAAAACTGAATAGAATTTGAGGACTCCCACCTTTACGAATTTTTCCAGACCTCTGTCAGCCCTATCAGCGGGTTGTAAAACTTCATGCGCAATGACAACCTGAATCAATCAGTCTCAATACCCTGCGCATCAATCAACCCGTTTTATGGTAGCGGTTTCGTATTCGACAGACGATAGGTTGCTATGAACTCTAGGCAAGAGTTGTCACCTCGTAAACGAACTCGCACTTCCCTCGCTCAAGAACACGAACACGGACGAAGGAAGAAAAGTTAAACATTTAATTGAGGAAGGGTCAGCGGTAGCCTGGGTCATCCTTAGCTTCTGTGAGGTAAGGGCGGAAGGAGATGATTGGAATATGGGAGAACGGCAGCTCGATTTGACTTGAAAGAGGAAAGGGGAACGAAGCAGTCAAAGTCGAAAATGCTGTGATCAGTGCCCTGCAGAATGCAAGGCAATATTTAAACAGAGAATCAAATGAAATACTACGATTGTGCAACTTGCAAACAATGTCGCACGAGGGTTTAAACAACTTCTAGTGATATTCGCTGATTTGAAAACCGAATGGAAGCTCTTTAAGAGCGGCTTAAACACCGCTTCGCTGAATGCTGAGGTTTAAAACGGGTTTTGCTGCCGGGTGGAGGTTAGAAACGAACTTCGACGTGGACACGCGAAGTTCAATTGGCTGTCAGCGAGAGGGCTGCGTTCAAAAGATCGTGAACGCTTGCTTCCGTTTAGCTATGCTCTGTGGACCTGGTGAAAGTCTATCACCGGATCCCGTACGGCAAGCTATTTTCATGCCTGCAGCCACACAGGGCGGATGGCCAGTTAACAGGAGCCATGTGGTCATCACATGTTGATTGCGGGTGATGCGTAAGAGTACGTGGTAGTAAGTCAAGACGTTTCAATGCTGGCACTGGTCTCCCTTAAGGATGCGGTCCGCTCCCTCTCCTGTTTGTGTTGTACATGAAAAGGATAGCTAAGCACAGCTGGGACTACGAGTGTATCGGTGTAGGAGATGTGGAGACGAGAGGGTTGCCGTTTGCAGACTGCCTTGCTTTGTTGGCATCGTCTGAAACTGATGTCCAACACTTTCTGTTAAGGTTCGCAGCAGAGTGAGATGTGGTCAGAATGCTTACAAACGTGTTTCAAAACGAAATGTCAAGTGCTTTCTTAGGGACAGTCGATCAAGAGGTACATTGATCAATCGGTTCTCAGTTTCCTCTGTCTTTACTGGTAATCGCTCTGGTGTACTTTGCACTTTGGACGCCCCAATCTGGCAGTTCACTCAAAGTGCTTGTACATTTTTGTATACTTACTTCGTTCCAATTTATAGTTCCTTTGTTCAATTTTAGTTAGCTTATTGTTCTTCTCCTTGTCGTGAAATACGTGATACCGTATCCTTAGATCGCTTTATTCCAATGAAGCTCTTTAAATTCTCAGTTAAGATCACAACGAATTCTTCTCCACAGACTTTCGGGAAGGTATCAAAAACAGGAATCTTTAACAACGTTCTGCCTCAAGGAAGACACGGTCGTTATACTCGTACGCTCAGTGCAAAGCAGCACTGCAATTTGCTGTGTGGAACCATTAACTGTGCTAATCGTGCATTTCTTCATATGCTGAAGA